CCATTTTGGTTCTAAAGAGTCTTTTATCTGGTGTCGTTACCAAAATACGTAGTCACCATGTTTTGGGGCATGAAATCTTATATAAGTAGGAGAAGAAGTTTGAACATAAGCATGTGTAATAACTTCATCATTGGCTTTAGCATACTGTATTAAGCTTTGATGACACTTTAACAAACTATTAGAGATCGACTTTGAATCAGGAATTATATCACTATAAGGAACAGGCATAACGCATCCAGTCACTGTTTCAAATGGGGTTAACTTGTAAGGACCGAAAGCAGTGGAATGCAGACTCATCAACACAATTGGAAGTACTTGAGGCCATGTTAGTTTTAAAGAAGCAGTAAGTTTAGCCAGCTGAACTTGTATTATTCCGTTTGTTCTTTCCACTAACCCTGAAGATTGTAGATGATATGGGCAATGTAATCGACACAAGATAGGAGAAATGTCACCAACTGTTGCCAAAATTTGGCCAGTAAAGTAAGAACCTCTACCACTACACAGGGTATAAGGAGTACCCTACACAGGATGAATATTTTCTAACAATTTTGTAGCAACAAAGGTTGCAGTAGCATTCTGACAGGGACATGCTTCTACCCAATGAGAGTATCTGCATATCATGACTAAAACATTTAATTTTGAGCTGGGGGAAGTTTAGAAAATCCATTTGCCATTCAGTCATGGGTCCTGTAGGAAGGGGATATCGACCCTGAGGAACCGAGTAAGTTTTCCATGGTTTAAATTCTTATCAAATCATGCAATCTTTCACCACTTCATTCAGTTTTCCGGAAATGACCCCCATGATTTTTAAAAAATTTCTTTTGTAGAGTTTCATCTCTTCCCAAATGATCTTTTTGGTGAAAACTATAAACTACAGGAAGATGTAATTTTTTTGGCAGGACCAGAGTGTGATCAGGTCCAATCCAAAGGTCTGTATCACAATTTAGAGTACATCCCTCCTTTTCCCATATTTGTTGTTCTGGAGGAGGCGTAGCCTTTTGGTGTAAAGGTAGACTGTGCCACCTAGCACCTGTTGTTTTCTCTGGATCTTCTATTAGTAGTGGATGTAAACCTGATTTCCATCCCCAACATACTTTACATTTTTCTCTATTCCCAAAATGAGTGTATTCAGGACAGTCGTTATCTAATACTGTTCCTTCGACCATTAATAAAAGTCTATCTATGGTATCATGTTTGTCACGTAAATAGTAAGCTGCATCTGCAAAGCTTCCCCAAAAGTGTTTGTCTAAAAGTGCAATTAAATCATCATTGCATTGTTCTTCAAACTCTAATAAACAGGCTGAAAACAAAGGTATACGTATTCCCTTAGGAATAACAATCCTATTTCCAGGACCTATCCACAGTTCCGTTTCTTTATTAAGATGGTCACCTGCTCGCCATTGATTCATTTTAGTTTCAGGGGCTAATTTTTTGTACTTTTCAGTACCTCTAAATTTGGATTCTGTATTTAAAAATAGGGACTTGGTAGGTTTCTGCATTCCTAATTTTTTATTTTGAATAAACTTTGGAAGGGACGTATTCCCAACAGATTCTGTTTTAACTATCCTTAAGGGATTTTCAGATAGAGCTGGGTTGGGTATTGGGGTTTCTTTACCAGCTGTTCTTTTTGCTGCATCAGCTAATTCATTGCCAATCACTTCCTCAGTCCAAGGCTGTCGTTTTGACTGGTGTGCTTGTATCTTAACCACAGCTATTTCTGAAGACATCTAAGAGTTCAACTAGGTATTTCCCATTCTTAATGGGAGATCCTCCTGCTGTTAAAAATTATTGTTGTTTCCATAACACCCTAAAGTCATGAACCATCCTGAAACAATACCTCGATTCTGTGAATATGGTCACAGGTTGATTCTTTTGCTAATCTAGAAGCTTGGGTAAGAGCCACTAACTTGGCTTGTTGTGCTGAGGTTACCTGAGGCAAAGGTCCACTCTCTGATACCCCTGAGAAAGTAGTCACCACATATCCTCCCTAATATTTGCCTGAAGTCAGACTTGGTTTTAAATAAGAACTGTCTACAAATAAAAGTAAAGAAGAGTTAGCTAAAGGAGTTTCCTGGAGATCTCCTCTTTGAATCAGAAGTTGATCTGTCAAGTCAAAGCAGTCATGCGGTACTCCTTCTTCCTCGGGGAAAAGAGTAGTGGGATTTAAAGCCTTAACAACATGTATTTGAATATTTGGGGCTGTCAATAATAAGGCTTCATAAGAGGTTAACAGGCTGGCAGATAGATGCTGAGTTAAAGTACATCTGAGAACAGCAGATATTGCATGTGAGACAAATAAATTACCCCACATTATATCTGCGGTGTTTTCTACTTTTAAGTGGCTGCTGCTACTGCCTTCAAGCATGGAGGATAAGCATGAGCAACTGGATCTAACTGAAGACTATAGTACCCTATAGGCCTCTGATGATCCCCATGTTTCTGAGTTAAAAATAGTATAAGCATTTCCATTTTGTTCATTCACATACAGGGAAAATCTCAAGGCATAATTTGGGAACCCCAAAGCAGGACTGGTTAGGAGGGCTTGTTGGAGTGTATGTATTGCTCCTATACCTTCTTTAGAAAGGGAAAAAGGATAAGTTTCTTCTTTTTTCAGACAGTGACATAAGGGTTGGGCTAACAATGAAAAATTTGGAATCCAATTTCGACAGTATCCACAAAGATCTAAAAACCCTTTTAACTGTTTTTTTTTTGTGTGTGTTAGGCAAAGGAAAAGTTAATATAGCTTCCTTTCTTTTTGGATCTGTAGAAATATCTTCATCTGAAATAAGATGTCCTAAATATTTAGCAGTAGGTTGGGAGAATTGCAATTTTTCTTTGGAAGCCTTATGCCCTCTATTGTAATAACAAAATGCTATCCTCAATATTATTTTGCTTAGAGGTGGAACAAATCATGAGATAATCTATATACTGCAATAACATGCTTAAATTGAAAAGGAACTAAATCTGAATGTAACATTTGTGAAAAATAAGTAGGATGTTCAGTAAATCCTTGTGGGAGAACTGTCCATGTATATTGGTTTTTCCACGTGAAAGCAAATGAGTATTGACTATCTTTGTGAACAGGGATACTAAAGAAAGCACTAGAAAGATCTGTAACAGGAAAACATATAGCATCACTTGGCACTTGAGCGAAAATCAAAAGAGGATTAGGTATACTACAGGGAACCTAGGTATTATAATCTTATTATGGCTCTTAAATCTTGTATAAATCTCCCATCCTCTATTGTTTTTTGGTTTTTTTTACCAGAAAAATAGGGGTATTACAAGGACCGGTGCATGGTATGATTAGTCCTTGCTGAAGGAAATCTTGAATAATAGGTCCTAACCCTGCTATAACTTCAGGCTTTAATGGATATTGAGCTATTTTAGGTAAGGATTTAGAAGTACCTATCTAAACCTGAATAGGTTCAGCTGACAAGACTTTACCTATGTCTGTGGTTGTTCTTGCCCAGAGTTCAGTGGGTACTTGTTCTAATTCCTTTTCTTCTCCCTGAGTCTGCTCTACTCTTCCTTCTACCTCCATTAACCCTTGAATAAAGTATAGAGCATCATCTACTTTTCTTTCAGTAAATGAATCATCTAACAGAGAAAAGTTTAATAGAATTTCTCCACTGTCAGTATATAAATCTTGCCCTAATAAATTAACTGGAGTTTCACTGCTGAGGAGGAAAGGATGTAAATCTTCATTTGGTCCCAAAGATATTGATACTGGCTCTGAGTAAGGCAAAATTTGTTCTTCATTTGAAACTCCCGCGATTTCAGAAGCTTTGTTACTCTGAGGTTTACATAAACACATGGGATTTATGGCCGACATGGTAGCCCTTGTGTCAGTCAGGAAGGTAGAAGGCTCCCCATTTATTTGGAGTGTTGTCTCCCCCTGACTGTTGAGAGGAACCACGGTAAAAAAAAAAAACCTAAATCCTCAAGGCATCGTCACTATAACGGTAATGGAGGTGCTGAAGGCGTAACCCTTTGCTTATTCTTAAGTTTTAAATAATCCCTCTTAAAATGACCAGGCTTCTTACAGTAATTACAAACTAGCTCATTTTGGGGCATATTTGTTTGAGGCTGTCCCTTGGTTGGGATTCTATCATTACTGCCTCTATCTTGCAGCTGTTGTAACTGCAAAGCCATCAATTTCTTTTTCTGCTCTCTAGTTTTTAATTCACTTTCTCCATTTTTTTGTTCTTCAGTTTGAGCTAATTTGTAAGCCACTGTAGCCAGTTCTGAAGGGTTTACATTTTCCCAATTTAAACTGTGTCTTTTTACCAAAGCTGCTAGTTCAGGCAATAGCCCCCCATAAAATCATAGAGTTGAATATAGGCCGGTGTTCTTCAAGCCTGAGTGTTCTTCAAACAATTTGGAGAAACTATCTATAAAAGTACATATGTTTTCTCCTTTTTCCTGTTTTTAAGCCTGAGTTTTTGTCCAGTCAACCTTCTTTGGAAAAACTCTGGGAAATGCACTTATTGTTTAACCAAACCCTGAACCTCATGTCTTAGTTCCTTTCCAGTAATTCCAGTTTTTAGAGCTAAATTTGCTTCTGGGTCCTTCCACTTAGCTTCAGCCATCCATCTAGCTGCATCTCCTGAACCTAGTAACATGCAACAAATTATATAAATCCAAAAGACCTGGCTCATAGGTACTAGTCGAGATAGTAAATTCATGTAAAAATTTCTGAGGATTTTCATGAGGGTCAGGAAAATCTTCTACAATTGCTCTCAGTTCTGATTAGACCAAGGGTTTACTGTTACTTTCATCAGTCCTCCTGTTAATTTGGGTTGTTTAACTACTTAAAGGGCTCAGAGGAGATGATGACTCAGACAGAGAAATGGCAGATTGGAGAGGTGTAAGGAGGTGGTTTGGCTGAGCAAAGATTACGTACTGGAGAAACTGAAGAAAGAACTGAAGCGGAGGCAGAGAAGGGCATTGGCTGGAGCAATCTAAGACGTAAAGTTTGTGTTTCTTTTTCTGTTTAGAGCAAGAGGAAGAAGAAGAAGAAGAAACAGAGGCCATCCACTTCAGATGAGCTAGACTCTTTGCCCCTGAACCCCTCGGCCCCAGGTAGCCTGAGTTCTCTTGCACTCCCTGGGTCCATGGACCCAGCCCCTCACAGAGACCCAGATCAGCAGGACAGTGTGAGCAGCCAGCCCCCAGCCAACGGTGCTGATGCCAGGTGTGATCAGGATGGTGTGAGTGGCCTGCCCCCAGCCAGAGGTGCTGATGCCAGGTGTGATCAAGATGGTGTGAGTGGCCAGCCCCTGGCCAGAGGTGCTGATGCCAGGTGTGACCAGGGCCCACCCAGCCTAGAGGCCAGGAGCCAGGATGTGGACCTGGACATGACACACCTGGAGGGGGATGGCTCCACAGGGCCCTTCAGGGATGTGGCACAGGCCAGCGGCTGCCCTCTGCAGGGTCAGACTGTTGGAGGAGAAGCAGCCATGAGAAGCAAGTCCCAGATGAGTGCTGAGCCCCGGGGCCAGGACTTCTCCAGCCCCTCTCAGGAGGGGGCAGGCCTCCCCAAAGCTGCCCCTGAAAGCAGCCGTGTGGATAAAGATGCTGCCCAGCCGTTCCCATTGCCAGAGTCACAAGAGGACGATTCAGAGCCCAGGGAAGGGGCACAGACCACCAGGAAGCAGGCGGAGACCCCAGCTTCTGAGGTGAGTTGTGAGGTAAAGTAATGGCCAGGGCCCTCGCAGGCGTCGCTCTGTGTGGGGTTCAGAGTCACTGCTCCATCTTGGGGGTCATCCCCTCAGACCTGCTCCCCGGAGCTGGGGGGTGGTGGTTTGAGAGGAAGGGGCGGCTTCTCCAGCCTGTAACTGGGGCTGTAACAGGTGCTGACCCTAAGCCACGGAGTCAGTCTCCCTGCTACACTTCGTCCCCTGGCTCTGATGTTTGGGGTCTTTATTACTTCAGGCCAATGACGCTCCAGCTGAGCCAGCCCCTGATGTGAAAAGGGCAGGGAAGGATGGTAAAAAGAAGTCGCAGAAGGAGAAGCCGCCACCAGCAACTGTCCCTGTTTCCAGAGACCACGGCCAGGTCTGTGTCTCGTCCCCTCTTCCGCCTGAGCCAGCTTTGCTCCTGCCCTGCCCAGGACGGCTCCTCGGGCCTCCTCCTCCCCAGCTCCTCTCACGAGGGCACTCAGATGTGTAGTGAATGCTGGGAGAAGGCCCTGCCCTCCAGGAGCTCATGTTCTGCAGGAGGAAGACGGGAGAGGAGGGGAGGCAGAGAGAAGTGCGGTGGAGTCCCCGAGGGTGCTGGGTGGGTGACGGAGAGAAGGCAGCCCCATTAGCCAGAGTGGTCAGGGAAGGCCTCTTCGAGCAGGTGGTGTTAGAACAGAGGCCTGAGCGGTGAGAGCGTCCAGGCAGAGGGGGCGGCTGGTGCAAAGGCCTTGCAGTAGAGCGTGGCTGGGTAGCTTGTGGTCGGCCTCTTTGGGAGCAGCCAGGCACCCAGTGCCCCAGGAGCGAGTGCGGGGAGGGGTGGCTGCTGATGGGGTTGGATGCTTGGTGAGTGGACAGGCAGCCACGGAGGGTCTGAGCAGAGAGACGATGGGGGTCACGCTGGCTGCTGTAGGGGTGACCGTGGACGCTGGGCTTAAAGACTGGGGTTTGATTATGTGTTCCAGGAAGCTGACACCAAGGACAAAATGGCCCTTCCTGGAGGGAAAGCGGGTGAGAGCAAGAAAGCCCAGCCCGAAGACCGGAAGAAGCCAGAAGAGAGCGGCAGAGCTCGCGCTAAGGCAGTGAAAAACGCCAAGGAGCAGAGGAACCAGGACGCGTGTGCATGTGAAGTGGAGAGGTAGGGCGCACCCCTGGCAGGGGGCAGCCGGGGACAGCCGCCCTGGGAGCCAGGCACGCGCCCACCCGTGCTGGGGGTGGCCAGGGGCCCAGAGCTCCCAGAGGGGCTCTCGCTGACTCTTGGCCAGTGTAGCTTTGGAGAAAAGGGGACCCATGCCGACTTCCTGTGGCTTCCTTGCTCAATAATGTGGTGCCTGGGTCCCAGAGCCACCTGGGCCTTTCAGAGGTTCTGTCAGGCCCTGACTCCTTTTCGAGCCAGCCCTGCCCAGCACTGCCGCCAGCCCTGTGGAGAGAGCCCCAGATTGCTCTCCACCCTCTGCATCCGCCTTCCTCCCCACGTTAGACAAGGGTGATGACACTCTGCTAGGTCATGTGTTAATACATGTTACCGAAACAGGAGATGCCGTCCTCCCTGGCCCAGGCTGTGCCAGACGCCCCCAGGGAGGTTTTTGGCAGCAAGGAGCATGTTCCAGTGCCACAAGGAGCCAGCTGGGGGGCTGCTTCTGGCTGCCCCTTTCCCACTGACATGAGAATGTGACCCCAAGTATCTCCCCTCCCCCCTCCCCGGGGCTGACACCTAGGCCTCCTTGTGGGGTTGTTCGGTCACTCGTTCTGTAAACAATTATCAGACACTCAAAAATCAGAACAAGCAGTGTGTGTGCATGTGTGCCGAGTCCCTGGGTGGTGCTCAGCTGTTACATACGCACTCAACTACTAACTGAATGCTTGGTGGTTTGAACCCACCCAGAGGTGCCTCACAAGAAAGGCCTGGCCATCTACAGCACAGCCTGGAAAACCCTATGGAGCAGTTCTACTCTGCACACTTGGGGTCACCATGACTCTGAATAAAGTTGACAGCAACTGGTTGGTGTGCGTGCATGTGCACGCATATGTGTGTACATCTGTGTGTGTGTGTGTGTGCGCGTGCGTGTGTGCGTGTACATACCCGATGGATGGATAGATTTAGCTATAACTCGTGTTTCTCTTTGGGCTACTCTAGCACGCTGAGTCCTGGTGAAGGGATCATGGTGTACTTCCATGCCATCGTCTCTAAAGATTTCTCATTCAACCCTAACCAACATCGAGTACTCATCAGGGGAGGAGAAGAGTTTGGAAAGCCACCATGGAACCGGAACGTCTGTGAGATGAGCTACACCAAGTAAGTGCTGTGGGGTAACTAGTAGTAGTATTATCGTCACTAGTTCCACAGGGAAAGGTGTGTAATGTTCGACTTTTGAAATGGACTTAAATAATGATTTTTATCGGTAAGTCAATTACATTCTTCCGCTTTGGGAAAACGAATATTTCAGACAAATATTCCCTGTAGCGCATTACTGTGTTGTATGTCACCCTGGCCCTTTTCCTTGGTCTTTCTGGAAACTGGGTCTTGTTCTAGAAGCTTTATCTTGGTTGCCATTGGTGTGTAGCTTTGGGTGTGCACTGCATGCTGTTTGAGAAGAACTAAAGTTTCCCAGGTAGGACTTCCAGTAACCAGCTGATATCCTGTTTATGCAGAGACTTGGGTGAATACGGATCCCTCGTTGAAGGCTTTGCCTTCATTTCCAAGCAGAACCTGGATAAGCCCATTCCTTATAAGTACGTCATTGCCTGCACCAAGGATTCTGAGGAGTACGAGTTCATCTACAAACGTCAGCAGAAGGAAGGAGAATATGTCAACCGTTGTCTGTGCATCAGGTCGTCACTCCTGGGCTCAGGAGGTAATCCACCGCCGGGGCTCCCTGACCGAAGCCCAGGAGTGCCGTACCCGGCCTCCGTGCTCTGCTCCAGGCCTGCCACACCCCAGCCTCTAGTTTAATAGACTGAGTTTGGAAGCATAGCGCTGACCGTGAAGGACGGGGCGGCCTCACCTTTTAGCCCACTTGCACCAGGGAACAAGGAGGTGGATTTTCAGTAAAGGGAAAGGAGAGGATCAAAGTGGCAGGAAGTAAGAAGGGACGGGGCTGGGGGATGGCGAGGCAGCAGGGGCCACGGGCACAGCCGACTGCCCTCACCAGGTTCACGGGACAGGAGAAGTGAAAATAGGAGGCTGCCGGCACTGTCCCCTTCCCGAGAGCTTTCCAAATGTGGACAAGCCGTGAGGGGAGAGGACAAAGCCCCGTGGGGGTTCCTGACTCGCTCTTTATCACCATTGCCACCCCTCCACTTGATTTTCATTGCTCTATTCTATCTTCTCTTGTTTTTTCTCTTGCCTGTATCTAATTCTTTTCTTTATCTTTTCTTTCTTTGCTCTGTTTTTTCATTTACTGCATACTGTTTGTGTGTGAGTGTATGTGTATTCTATAGCTATCATCTGTATGGACTCTACTTTGAGGAACTTGCTAAGATCTTCACTGTCGTCTAATACCTGCTCTGTCTTTGTAAATATTCCCTGTGTGCTGGGAAGGAATGGGTAATCCGTTGGGTGGACTCGAAAGTTCTACGTGTATCTATTACATAAAGCCTGTTTAATATTAAATCTTTTTGAAAAATCTTCATCTTAGCTTCTGGAAGGTGTTACGGTCTTAGTTCCTAAGATTGCACACTTTGATTTGTTACTGGTCAGTGTGGGCTGTATAACTCCAGAAACTCTGCCAGTAGGAGTGTGGCCTTTAGAACTTCTTGGTAGATTGTACCTGTATCCACTGGGTTCGATCAGGTGCTCTGAGCAGGAAGGAGTTCAGTACCGGGAACCGACAGGAGGGCTGCAGTGAAGGCCAGGGGAGGCTTCTGCTGGCTTCCAGAGTGTTGGGGAGCCACCACCTGTGGTCAGGTATTGAAGTACGGAGGCCACTGCCTGCAGCCCCACCGGCTGACAGCATCAGGGCAGGTGACTTGGGAGCAGAGTCTGGAAGGTGCTGCAAACCTCACACCTCCCAAAGCCCCACATCCACCTCCTGTCTTTCTGCTTTGTTGTACGTTGTACTTCTAAGTATGTTTTAAGCTCCACACTACAGTGTTATTTTTGCTAAAATGATCCATTATCTTTTAAGGAAATTCAAATAAGAAAAATGTTACCAACTAGGAGCCCTGGTATCACAGTGGTCAAGCACTCAGCTGCTAAATGAAAGGTTTGAGCCCACTAGTAGCTCCATGGGAGAAAAGACCCGGCAGTCTGCTCCTGTAAAAATTTCAGCCTAGGAAACCCTACAGAGCAGTTCTACTCTGTCCTATAGGGTCACCACCAGTTGGAATTGACTTGATGGCACATAACAACGACAACAGTTACCAATTCTGGTGCTCTTCATTCCTTTCTTTAGATCATATTTACACATGGTATCATCTTCCTTCTGCCTGAAGGACTTCTTAAAGCATCTTTTTTTTTTTTTTTTTGTAGTGTGAATCTTTTGGTGATGAATTATTTTAGCTATTATAGGTATGAAAAAGTCTTTATTTCACATTCGTTTCTAAAAATTATTTTCACTAGGTATAGAGTTCTAGTTTGACAGGTTTTTTTTTTTCTTTCTTTTAATACTTTAAAGATGATGCATCACTGTCTTCTCGCTTGCATTGTTTCCAATGAGAAGTCGGCTGTCATTCCTATCTCTGTACATGACTTTTTCCCCCCAGACTTCTTTTAAGGTTTTCTCCTGGTCGCTGGTTTTGAGCAATTTTATTCTGCTGTGCCATGTGGTTGTTTTCCTCATTTTTCTTCTGCTTGTAGTTTTTAGAGCGTCTTGGGTGTGTGGAATTATCATTTTCATTAAATCTGGGAATTTTCTGGCCAGCATTCATATATTTTTGTCCGTCCTCTGCTTGGTGATTCTAATCACATGTATGTTAGGCCGCTTGAACTTGTCCCGCAGTTCTCTGATGCTCTTTTTTTTTTTAGTACCTTTTCTCTCTGTGCTTAATTTTGGATTGTTTTTATTGCTAATATCTTCCTCTGCAATGTCTAACCTGCCATTTACATCATCCAGTATATTTTTCATCTTACGCATTGTAGTTACATCTCATCTTCCACGTCTATACTTAATATGTTCAATCTTCCCTCTAGCATTTCAAACATATAAAACACAGTTATAAAAACTGTTTTAGTGTCTTGGTCTGCTAATTCTAACATCTGTGTTAGTTCTGGGTTTGTTTCTATTGATTGCTATGTCTCTTCATTGTGTGCCACATTTTCCAGCTTCTTTGCATGCCTGGTAATTTTTTATTAAATGCCAGACATTGTGAATTTTACCTTGCTTGATGCTGGATATTTTCACATTTCTATTAATATTCTTTGTTCCAGGATATAGTTAACTAATTTGGAAACCATTTGATTTTTTTTAGGTTTTGCTTTCAAGATATGTTGGGTAGGACCAGAGCAATGTTTAGTCTGGGACTGATTATTCCCCCACTTCTTGCAAGACTCTTCCAAGTACTCTACCCATTGCTGCATGAATTATGAGGTTTTCCTATCTGGATGGTGGGAACATGCACTACTCCCAGCCCTGAGTGAGCACCTGGAACTGTTCCCTCTAATCCTTCTTAGGTTCTTTCCCTGACCTCAGGTCGTTCCCTCACACATGTGCTGATCAGTACTCTGCTGAGTACTTGAGAGGTACCCTCTGCAGATGCCCAGGGCTTGCTGTCATGCAGCTCCTTCCTCTCTGGTACTCTGCCCTGCCAGTTCTAGCTGTCTTGGTCTCCCCAGACTTTGAGCTTTGTCTCCTCCACCCAGGGAGTCCTGGGCTTCACACCTCAGTTCACCCTCCCTGCACAGGAGCCTACAAACTCTCTGAAGGCAGTAAGCTGGGGTAATTACAGGGCTCACTCATTTGCTTCCTGTCTCCCAGAGATCAGCATCCTTCATTGCCTGGTGTCCAATGCCTTGAAAATAGTTGTTTTATTATTTTGTCCATTTTCTAAAGTTGTTTTAAGGCAGGTGAGTAAATATGATCTCCTTGCTACTGTTAGAAACAGAAGTCTTAATAACTTTTTTGAGTATAAAATTTTTAATCTCCCTGTGATCAGTTCTTAAGGTGCTCATTTACCAAGTTTTCTGAACTGTATGTTCCAGAGACATGTTCAAAGTATTTTCAGGCCCGCTGGATGCTGTGACCTTGAGTTTTACTCTAATCATGAATGTCTAGGCCATCTGTCCTTAACACAGCAGTGCTTCTGCACAAGGTACGCTTATCTGAGGATGGACAGCTGGCCGGAGTGAGTTCTGAATGTCTTCAGTCTAACACAGTTTTCTGGCTTTCCTTTCTTTCTCCCCTTCCTTTACGCACTCCTTGTGTTTCTGCTAGTCAAGATCAGTGTTCTAGGGTAGAGTGCAGAGTGTCTATGCAAATGGGTTTTGATTATCTGAAGTATAATTTTTTTTTTTCACTCTTAGATTGGCATCAGTATGATGATATAATTTGCATGAAGCCTCCTGGTAAGATTCAGAGGTTCTGGGATCATGTCACAGATGGTACAAGGAAAAGCCTGGTGAGGGGGAAGCAGATCGCGGCTAGAGTCATGCTGGACAGCATCTTCAGCATCCTCCAGACCTGGAATGCCATCAATTTAAAGAAATTTTTCACCCAGTTTAAGCAGTTTTATTCTGTCGTCCGAGAGCCAACAGTCTATGAAGGCGGACCACAGACGTGGAGCTCATTTCTGAAGTATGGAGAGACAGAGGTATCGGGTTTCACTTCTGTCACCAGCACCTCCATGCTGGGAATGGGCGTGTTCACCTTCTGGGCAGTGAGCATCACCCAGCCTATAATGGCCAGGTGACCCCCCTGACCCAGCAGACTGAGGTACCGATGGCGGCAGGTGGAGCTTTCGGTCCTTCACTCTTAGCACTGCCACTTGGGAATTCTCTGCCATCCTATCTTCTTCCTCTTCCTGGTTGCCCCTCTGAGCGCTGAGCCAGTACTGGTCCCAAAGCCTCACCTGACCTCGGGCAGAGAGTAAGGACAGATGACTGTTACCCCCGCTCTGTACCACCCCCAAACTCCAGTGTGGCCCTGGTCAGTTCTGAAACAGACTAGGGAGCCACTCTGAGATGACAGCTGAGCCCTCGCAGGCATCAAGGGCCCAACCTGCCTGCAAGCCCTTCCACCCTGCAGTTTTCTGGTGTGCGCCATTGGCCTGGCTCCTGCTGTCCCCAAGGGCCCCAGGGCAGCTGGGCTTGGGGCTCCATGGGGAGACAGGGTGGTGGGGTAACCCCTCTGTGGGGCTCTCCCCGGCCTTGGGAGGCTAGGTCCCCTATCCAGCTGATGTCGCCCTAAGGGCAGTGGGGGTGCTGCTCCGGACACCTCTTGACAGATTCAGCTCCATGGTTCCTGTGTCTTCCTTCTCTCGGGGGATCAGGTGAAGAAGGACCTGTGGCACTATTTGAAAGAGAAAATGGATCTGTTCCTGCAAAGGAACAGCGAGGAGCGTCCCCCTGAACACTGGCCAGTGAGGAGTGGACTGAGAATGGGCCTCATCGTCCTGTTTGCAATGGAAGAGTTTGCACTTCCCATGTCAGACGCCGACCTTTCCTCACTGTGCTACCTTCTCTGCGTGAGTGCCAGCTCGCCAGACCCCCTTCACAGAGACTTACAACCCGTCTTTGAAACATCTCGGAGGTAGTCTTTTGTTTATTTGAAAGGTCTTATAGCTACTTTTAATGTTTTTATCTGATTATAAAAAATAAATGCTTGTCATAAATAGTTGAAAACACACAGGGAAGAAATTAAAATCACCCATAGTTTTAGCATTCACTGCTGCCATCTCAATACTGATTCCTCCATCCTTTCTCCTCACATGTGTATTATTTTCAATTTTATCATGCCACCGAATAGCCTGCTTTCTTGTAACTTCATGGTGTGTCATCCAGAACCTCTAGTAGTCCCACTCAAGGACGTCTGTAGAACAACAGGGATGCTCCCCCCACCCCCCAGTCTCTGCTCTGCCCGTGTTGAGTTCAAGAGGCTCAGGGCGTCGTGGTGCTCGGCCTTGAAGGGTGCTGCAGTGAGCAAGGAGACACCCGTCCCTAAGGAGCCTGCACTTTCCCTGGTGGGGGATACATACTCAACCTGAGTTGAGCTCTGATGATTACAGGGTCCTTTTATCATATTTTCTGCAGCTGCGTTAGATTTGAACTTGAGAATAAGATTATGTAGCCTTCCCTGAGCAGGAAGTCTTATTGGACATCTGCCTCTTAGTCTGACAAATGTGACACACCCGGCCACACATTGTACAGAGGACAGTGGTGGTTCAGTGGTAGAATTCTCACCTTCCATGCAGGAGACCTGGGTTCGATTCTCAGCCAACGCACCGCGTGCGTAGCCACTACTTGTCTGTCAGTGGAGGCTGTGTGTTGCTAAGAAGCCGAACAGGTTTCAGTGGAGCGTCCAGACTAAGACACTCTAGGAAGAAAGGGCGGGTGATCTACTTCTGAAAATTAGCCATTGGAAACCCCATGGATCACAGTGGCTCGATCCCATTGTGCATGGGGTCCCCCCCGAGTCGGTGGCCAACTTGAAGGCAGCTAACACCAACAAACGCTGCACGTGTTGAGAAGAGGACAAATGGGGACAGCAACTGGACAAAGTGGGTACAAGTATTTGAGAGCGTTAAGAGGCATTAACGTTTTGTGATTGTAGGAAGAATGACATATTGCCTATAGTCTCGGCCCTTGCATTTAAAAAGTTGCTTCTTAACCAGACTTACTGTTGCCGGGCTGCCTGGGTTCAAACCCTAGCTCCACCGCGGAGGACCCTGGGTGAATTACTTAGCCTCTCTGAGCCTCAGTTTCCTCAGCTGTCAAATGAGGATAGGAATAACTCCTTTGGAGTTTGATGTGGGGCTTCAGTGAGCTGGCATATTCAGTGCTTGACACGTTAGGGTGGGGTGCTGTGGGACCCGTCTCCCAGATAACCCACTGAAAAGACATGCTCCGCAGTTCCTGGCTGGTAGAGTTCCTCCATGTTAGGCGGCCAGAATGAGCTCCCAGGCTCCATGTAAGTAGCGCCACTTCCCTTCTGCGACCTCAGACCCCTGCCCTGCTCAGCTCACTGCGGCATGCTTTCTTCCCTTTCTAGCTGGAGAAGGTACCTGGTAAACCTGTGCGGGAGGTGCATGTACCCAAGCAAGGACTGCTGGGTCCTCACGCTCCCGGTGCTGCACCACTGCATGGGGCTGGCCCCCCAAGGGAAGGACATCCCGCCCGAGGACACGTGGGCAGCCCTCGAAGGCCTCTCCTTCTCACAGTTTCGGGAAGAAAGATCAGACCAGTAAGTACGTGCTAGCCTACAGATTTTTAGGGATTAAATTAGTGAGCTAAATTAAGTTCTTGTTTCTTTGCTATTACTGGACTCTTTTGAGATTAAAGCCAAATTAAAGTCATTTACACAGCTGCATGTATTCCGTGCCCTTCAGGGGTGCACAGACACAGAGAAGAAGTGTAACTGCTGCCAGTGGACAGTGCTAAACGCTAGCAGTGGTCCTACAGATGCTGTCTTTCAGGCACAAGTGGCCCTTCCTGTTCAGCGGACCTTGATGGAGATGTTCTTCGTAGCCTCTGACACTTCTGCGGCACCCCGCTTACGTTGTCATCGTTTTGGGTGTCCAGTACAATGCTGTAGAACCGGCACAGTTTAAAGACCTTCACATGGGTTGTCTGGTCCAGGACGCACACTCACTCATTCATCAAAGTGTTTAATTCTCGGTGAACTCTTAATTGCTACTGTTTTCTTCTGACCTGCTACTTATTTGTGTTTTCCACTTAGCACTGAAACAACGTTTGAGATCTGAGCGCTCTAGATCTTCTCACGTCATGTTACTTTATCTAAGCTCAGTCTGCTTCACGGACCTCACGGCTGCCCTCTTTTCTACTCCTGTTTTCTCTTCTCCAGGAATCAACTTCTTCAGCTCATGGAAAGCAATCAGCATTTGCTGAACGTGGACGGCTGTCTGTTCCGATCCTGGTTCAGTCTGCTGCCTCTGCGTGACCTGGCTGACTACATGAGGACCTTGGTTCCATACCTAGCGGCTTCCCCTGCTCGTTTCTTGGACTGCTTCCTAGGGGTTTACTACCGGCTTCGAGGACTTTACAAAATCTCGCACAGAAATCTGGAGGTTTGTTATCTGCAGCGGGCTACTGCTCCCTTGCTTAGCAAGACTGAAAACCAAACATTCCGAGTTTGTGATTCTTCTTTTCTGAAAAGTGACGGGGTAAAGCACTTAGAAACGAGAGAGCCAGCAGCAGTCACTATGTGTAGGGCTAAAGGATTGATTTGACTGAGTTTATTTTGTTTCAATAAATAAACCAAACCCATTGCCGTCGAGTCTATTCCGACTCATAGCGACCCCCTAGGACAGAGTAGAACTGCCCCATATGGCTTCCAAGGAGCAACTGGTGGATTTGAACTGCTGAGCTTTTGGTCAGCAGCCGTAGTCTTAAGAACTGCGCCACCAGAGCTCCGTTTCAATAAACAGAGTTCAATAAAGCACTAACCAGTGGCTGTTGACTTGACTCTGACTCGTGGCGTCCCCATGTGTGTCAGAGTAGAACGGTGCTCCATGGGGTTTTCAGTGGTTGATTTTTCACAAGTAGGTTACCAGGCCTTTCTTGTGAGGCAACTTTGGGTGGACTTGAACTGCCAACTTTTTGGCTAGCAGCTGAGTATGTTAACCATTTGCATCGCCCAGGGACTTTACTAAAACAATAGGCTGTTGTTCCTTCCGACTGTGCAGCAGGAGAAGGACTTACTGTGAGGGCTAGTATACTTCATCATGGCTGCTTTTCCTTTAACATTTTTTGGGTGGAGACAATGGTATAATTTTAAGCCCTCAATTTTATTTGTGAAAGATATAAGGCCAGTACTTTAGCACTTTAAATTGTTTACAGCAAGAAAATAATTATGTTATATCTTACATTGAATTTTTGTCAGCTTTGTTTTACCAGAGTCAGTGGTGTCATGATTAAGTCTTTTTCTTTTACCTATTTGTCTTTTCTTCTCTGCCCTAGAGTATTGAGAAGGCTTTAGAAATGCTGTTACGCCTGCTGGATGCTCATCCGAACAAGTAAGTAATGAAGCAAAGTCATCTCTGTCTCTCAATCGCAGTGCCGGGGCTCTCAATGCCTACCCCTGTTAGATCGACAGTGTCCCACATTTGCTGTGATGATAAGAGGGTCATAAATCAATATGTACCCTATTTCTTTTTCAAGTTATTAATGTAACCATTCTATTGTTTCAAATAAGGAGAGAGTAATAGATATCAGCTGGTATGATTTTGGTTTATTTCCATCTGGTCTTTTTATTTTTCTGCGCATTTATTTTTAAATGATGATCATCCTTGTTGCGTGCTCATGTTTGTGTCCGATTTTCTTTACCATTTAGTTTTTATATACTTTTTGCAACTCAGGTCAGTTTAAAATAAAAATCAAAGGTAGCTTCACAGAATTATCTGAAATAATTTGCTCCTGTAAATTTGTGTGATCTTTGACACCCTGAAGGGACACTGTACAGGACTCAGAACGACAGAAATAGGCAGGTGGGTGATGGAGTGTTTTCTGACATTCTCATAGCAATCTCAGTATTATCCCACTGTAAAATGGTGGCATCAGACCTCACCTAACTTTGGGGGAGAGTGGTAAATCAAGATCAGCATCCGCCCAATGCTGATTCCTATGAGGTGGAGGTCAGACATACCTCCACTCTCCAACCTTTTTACCAATTCTGACACCAGCTGTCCCTCCCATGGCACTCTCTACTTCTCTACTGGGTTGATAATTTGTTGCAGTGGCCACACAGAACTCACAGACCATACTTATGATTATGGGGTTTATTAAGGAAATAACAGGTTACAATTCAGGATCAGGATCCACTTGGAAATAATAGGAACAACTCAGGATACAGTTCTTCAATCAGGACAGCTTCTTCTGGGCTGTGCCTGGAGGCAGGCCTCCTCTGCCGGACCCTACTTGGGCCTGGCCTCTGCTCAGGAAAGTGTTACAGCGCTTTAGCTCACCGATAAGTGCTCAGAGGCACCCCATTCCACCAGCGAGCCTCCTGCCTGACAGCGCTCAGCAACCTTGCTCCACGGGTCGGGAAGCCCACTGCATCGGTCTGCAGTCTCATGCCAATACTGCTCTTGCTGCTGCTCTGCCATCCCTCACTGTCTTGTGCCACTGCCATCTCATGTTGCTGCCACCTCCAGTGTTACAGTTCTCTGTCTCATGGATCTAGGAGATTCTCAGCGCAGGGACCCTGGGTCTAAATGACACGCTCTGCTCCCGGCTCCTCTTAATGGTAGTGAGGTCCCCCATCAATCTCTGGGATTGGCACTTTTAAGCCTAGCAGGATGGCAAAACTGACCAACCCCTTTGGTGGGCCCTATTTGCATAGTCCAAGCCAAACCTGGCAGGAGTCTCACTCAATTATTCCGTGGGAGTTACAAGACTGTGGCCAGAAAAGCCATATAAAAAGAGAAACCCATTGTCCTGTACTCACCTGAATGCTTGGATATTAAGGATGGAGGTGGTAGTGTGAAATCTCCTTTCATGTAAAGAACTCATGGCCATTCAGGGACCTCACCTAACACTGTGGCTTACCACGTCATCCCAGGGTTACTTTCTCATACCACATCCTAAGCCCCAACTCTCATTAACTCACTGACTCAGTACTGCCCCTGTGGCAGTCAATGAACATGAAACTGTCCACACTGGTCCCAAGAAATTCCGTGCACAGTACATGTTCTTCTAGCATTTCTTATTCTTCCTCTGTCCCTGTATCTTTCTGAATCTTTTTTTCTTTTTCAAATTTATGTAGCATTTTCATCTTTAGTAATATATACCTGTCGTGGATTGAACTGTGTCCCCTAAAAATACGTGTCAACTTGGCGAGTCCATGAGTCCCAGTATTGTGTGATCATCCTCCATTTTGTGATCTGATGTAATTGTCCTATGTGTTGTAAATCCTAATCTCTGCCTATGGTTAATGAGGCAAGATTAGGTTATGTTAAAGTAGATTAGGGTGGGATACAACACCCTTTCTCAGGTCACAGCCATAATCTGATATAATGGGAGTTTCCCTGGGGTGTGGCCTAAATCACTTTTTACCTTATAAGAGGTAAAAGGAGAGAGAAGCAAATGGGGTGTGGGGTGGGGGGGACCTCCGACCATCAAGAAAGAGAAGCCAGGAGCAGAGTATATCCTTTGGACCCAAGGTTCCTATGCTGAAAACCTCCTAGACCCAGGGAAAGATTGATGACCTTTCCCCAGAGCTGACAGAAAGAGAAAGCCTTTCCCTGGAGCTGGTGCCCTGAATTTAGACTTCTAGCCTCCTAGTTTGTGAGAGAATAAATTTCTGTTTGTTAAAGCCATCCACTTGAGGTATTTCTGTTATAGCAACACTAGATAACTAAGCCCCATGCATCTATCAGTCTGTCGTACTGTGGGGGCTTGCATGTTGCTGTGATGCTGGATGCTATGCCACCAGTATTCAAATACCAGCAGGGTCACCCATGGTGGACAGGTTTCTGCTGAGCTTCCAGACTAAGACAGACTAGGAAGAAGGACAATCTACTTCTTAAAACTATTAGCCAGTGAAAACCTTATGAATAGCAGTGGAACATTGTCTGATATAGTGCCGGAAGATAAGCCACTCAGGTTGGAAGGTGCTTAAAATATGACTGCGGAAGAGCTGCCTCCTAGAGTTGACCTTAATGATGTGGGTGGAGTCAAGCTTTCGGGACCTTCATTTGCTGATGTGGGACAACTCAAAATGAGAAGAAACAGCTGCAAATGTCCATTAATAATAGGAACATGGAATGTAGGAAGTAGGAATCTAGGAAAATTAGAAATCGCCAAAAATGAAATGGAACACATAAACATCGATATCCTAGGCAATAGTGGGCTGAAATGGACTAGTATTGGCTGTTTTGAATTGGAAAATCATAAGGTCTACTGTGCAAGGAATGACAAATTGAAGAGGAATGACATTGCAGTCATCACTGAAAAGAACATTTCAAGATCTATCCTGAAGTGCAACACTCTCAGTAATAGGGTAATATCCATATGCCTACAAGGAAGACCAGTTAATATGACTATCATTCAAATTTATAAGCTAACCACTAAGGCCAAAGATGAAGAAATTGAAGATTTTTACCAACTTCTGCAGTCTGAAACTGATCAAACAAGCAATCAAGATGCACTGATAGACTTCCAGCAACGTGGTGCTCTAGGCAGAAGCACCACGCCATCCCTCCAGAGCAAAGATCCAAAAAACTAAGCCAAACAGAGAAAACAACAATCCTGAAACCCTAAACGTCAAATGAAGAGATAAAGAACTCAGCCAAGCACCAAACGGAATAAGAAACTGACAGAGAACAGAGAGTGAGGACATACATGCAGAGGTCCCCTATCAGCTAACGCAGCACGGATCCGCCATCTTGGACTCCTATCAGAGACCAGCAAATAGGGGGTATGAGAAAGCAGCTTCACGGAGCTTCCAGCAGGCGACAGAAAAACCGGTAACTGACGATATACACTTTCCCACCCCCCACCCTTCTTGACCCCCACTTGGCCTCCTCT